GCCTTGCTCTATTGCCAGAGCTGGAGTATGGTGGCACGATCATAGCTCACTGCAGCCTCAGACTCCTGGCTCAAGTAATCCTCACACCCCACCCTCCCAAGTGGGTGACTAGCACACCACTATGCCTGGCTAATTATTTTATTTTTTGTGGTCAGGCTCTGGCTTTGTTGCCCAGGTTGACCACTTATTATCCACCAAGCACTGCTCTAAGCACTTGATCTCATCGGGCAGATGAGGGAACCAAAGCTCAGAAAAGTGATGTGACTTCTTCAAGAACTTGCAGCACACAAGTGGCAAAGCTAGGATGGGAAGCCCAGCTCTGCTGGCCCCTGGCACAGCTCAGCCTCTAAAATAGACTGTTCATGAGTCCCAGGGAGGAAAGGAAGACAGGCTTACTTTCCAGAATCCAGAACATAGCATCTACTCAATAAACACCAGGAAATGGAACAGAAGACTCTCCGGAGGAGGCTCAAAGAGGGGGTTATAATAAACGTCAGCTGAGTGACCCATAAATGTCCACTATGTCCTCTGTCTCCTGGACTGCCGTGGACACGAGGGGGGCTTTGTCCAGATTCACATTGCTAGCCTGTGTACCCATCCCCCGCACCCAAGGTTGTTGCTTGCCAAGGCTCACAGCTGCCTGTTTCTCCAGAAAACTCAGCCCCCACAAGAACTGCACATAGAAGGGGGGATGCCGTCCACCCCTGGGGGTAGCCCCCTGCCAATGACCAATCAGGGGTGCTGGGGGCCAGCATTCCTGCCCCAAGAGGGGCTCAAACCCTCATCTCACTCTGCTCCTAGGGAACCCAGCTTAAGACATGACCCAATGCCCAGTCCTTTGGGTCCCAGGAGACCCTGGCCCCTCTCCAGCCCGGTCCCTGCTAAGCTCCCACCCACTTGGGCCAGTAGGTCTTCTTGGTCAGTCTTCACCCCAAAGCGGGGGATGCTGGAGTTGTTCAGGCTGCTGTTGTGCATCAATTTTTTCACCCCTGTGATCTGAAACATGGGTTGAATGTGGGGCACAGGGGGTGGGGGCTGCTGGGCAGGTCTTGGTCTTGGCGCTTGCTGTTTTTCTCGCTCCTTCATCGTGGGTGATGGGATCTCCACTTCATTCTGTTTGTCTGCAGAAGATGGGAAGAGACGAGCATGAGCACCCCCCACTGCACCCAGACACTCCTTATGCCTCAGCCCTCTACCGCATACTGGGAAGGCTCACCTGAAAGGGCAGATCCCTTCTGGGTGTCACGCCAATGGCTACTCAGAGGCTGGAGACATGGGAGGACGGAGCGGGCATAGACATTTTTCTAGTAGGTGGCCTGGAGTGTGGCCCTAGGCTGTGGGGTGGCGCCAGTACAATCATCAGGTTTGGCTCCGGGGTGGCACGGGAAGTCAGGAAGTGAGGTGGGGATGCTGGGGCAGCCACAGCCTGCCCTGGCTACCCAGGGAAGCTTCTTGGGTGGGAAAGACACCCGCATGGTGGCCAAGGGTGGTGGCTGTGGGGGCGGGGGGGGGCTTGCCGGGAGAGAGGGAGGGGTGGTTTTTGGCTCCACCCCTTCAAGTCAATGACAGATCATTTGCAAGCCATGTTCCCATTGGCTGTATCCTCAGAACTCTGAGGCACACCACATCCTTACTGGTAGAAGCAATTGAAACTCTGATCACTTTCTTTCTTTCTTTTTAATAGAGATGGAGTCATCCTGTATTGCCCAGACTGGTTTCCAACTCCTGGCCTCGGGCAAGCCTTCTGCCTCAGCCTCTCAAAGTGCTGGAATTACAGGCATGAGCCACTGCCCTTGGCCAGTCACTTTTCTTGAGCTTGTGAGGGGTGTCCTGAATTTGGGGGGCCTTATGGATTTAGTGATAAATTGTAAGGATGAAATTATCCTGAGTTTGGAGGGATATACTCAGCTTGAGGGCTCTTGGTTTCAGAGGTTAGGATGACTTTCAGATACCCATGAGTTTCAGGGTTCCAATTAATTTGAGGTATTCTACTGTATTTGGGGTTCCACTGAGTTAGGAAATTCTCCTACAAGTTTGGTCAATCTCCTACCAGTTCTTAACCTTGTGAATACAGTTGCGTTTGGGGAATCTAAAGTTTTGGGAGTCTACTAAATTTGGGAGTGGTCATCCCTAGTTTGGGGAGTCTACTGACTTTGGGGGACCTTTCAGCCTGGAGGGTTGATAAAGTATGGAGGTCTTTTGTGGGCTCTGAAGTGCAGATTTTCCCCCTAAGTTTGAGGACCCTTCTGAGTTTAGGCACCTCTCTTGAATTTGGAGGGATCTTCTGAATCTGGGGAGGTCAATCTAAATTTGGAGATTCTATTGAGTTTTGCATTCTACTGAGTTCAGGAAGCTTTTTTTTAAGTCGGAGTCCCACTCTGTTGCCCAGACTGGAGTGCAGTGGCATGCTCACGGCCACCGCAGCCTCGACCTGCTGAGCTCAGGTGATCCTTCTGCCTCGGCCTTCCAAGTAGCTGGAACTACAGGCACGTGCTACCACGCCCAGCTAATTTTTTAAAATTTATTGTAGAGATGAGGTCTCGCCAAGTTGCCCAGGCGGGTCACGAATCCATGGGCTCAGGCAATTCACTCACCTCAGCCTCCCAAGGCGCGGGATTACAGGCTGAGCCACCAAGCCTGGCTTGGGCTAATTTTCTGATTTATTATAGAGATGAGGTCTCACCAAGTTGCCCAGACTGGTCTCAAACCTGTGTACTCAGGCAATCCTCTCACCTCAGCCTCTTTTTTTTTTTTTGAGTTGAAGTCTCACTCCGTTGCCCAGGCTAGAGTGCAGTGGCACACTTACAGCCATCCCAGCATTGACCTGCTGGGCTTAGGCGATCCTTCCACCTCAGTCTTCCAAGTAGCCGGAACTACAGGCCTGTGCTACCACACATGGCTAATTTTTTTTTTGTTGTAGAGATGAGGACTTGCCAAGTTGCCCACACACTGGTCTCGAACCTGTGGGCTCAGGCAATCTTCTCACCTCAGCCTCCCAAAGTGCTGGGATTACAGATTTGAGCCACCGTGCCTGGCCGTTTTTTTTTTTTTTTTTCTGAGTAGGAGACTCATTTTGTCTCTCCCAGTCTGGAAATCAGTGGCATGCTCATAGCCACTGCAGCCTTGACCTGCTGGACTCACGCAACCCTTCTGCTTCAGCCTTCCAAGCAGCTGGAACCACAGGTGCATGCCACCACACCCAACTAATTTTTTTTTAAAATTTATTGTAGAGACGAGGTCCTGCCGTATTGCTCAGGTTGGTCTTGAACCCATGGACTCAGGTAATCCTCTCGTTTCCACCTCCCAAGGTGCTAGGATTACAGGCAGACCATGCCTGGCAAGTTCAGGAAGCATTTTTTATTTTTATTTTTTAGTTGGAATCTCATTCTGTCACCCAGCCTGGAGTGCAGTGGCATGATCAGGCCTCACTGCAGCCTTGACCTCCTGGGCTCAGGCGATCCTCCTGAGTAGCTAGGACTACAGGCATGCATCACCAGACCCGGCTAATTTTTTTATTTTTTGTAGAAACGAGGTCTCACTATGTTGCCTAGGCTGGTCTTGGACTCCTGGACTCAAGAGATCCTCCTACCTCAGCCTCACAAAGTGCTGGGATTACGGGCATAAGCTACTGCGCCCGGCAGCTGGGAGGCTTTTTAAAGTTTAGGCATTCTATTTGAGTTTGGGTGTCTCTCGGGATCTTGAGTTTGAGAATTTCATTGGAATGCCACTGAGTTTGGAGGGGTTTTGAAGCTTGCAGACATTTCAAATGTGGGGTCCCCCTGATTTGGGGGTACCATGAGTGTGGCAGCTCTTGACCATGGTAACTGTGACCTTTGGAAAGTTAAGAGTCAGGGTCCCTGGAGAAATATGGGCACTAGGCTCCAGGGTAAGGGGCAGCCTTCTTGCGTGCACATGTCCCCAATCCACCCCTGCACTCACCCAGGAAGGTCGTGGAAATGTACTCTGAGACCTGGTTTCCTGACCGGCTCATTTCTGACAGATGTGTGAGTTCACGGTTCAGCATCCTCTTGAACTAAGGGTAGGAGCCAAGAGGGAAGGGATGGGGGGAATCATAGGGAGGGGAGAGTCAGTCGTTCCCCGGAGACCCCTGAAGACCCCATGAGTCCCTCCTGTTTCTCTGCTCCACCAGGAGCCCCCACCAGGCTGCCAGAGAGGCGGGGTGAGCCCTTCCTCACCTCCTAGTTCTGGATGAGGGTCCCCAGGCTTGGGGTTCAGAATCAGCTTACCCATCCCTGCCTAAGGAAAGAGGGGCTCCCTCCCCATTTCCCCCAAGGAGGAGCCAGAAGGGCACCTGTGGAAGGGAGGGGCTCCTGCTTGATGGGGAGCCAATGGAATATCAGGAGAATCCGTCACCATGGTGATGGGAGTCTCCTTAGCAACTCCCCCTCCAACCACAGCTGAGCTGGGAAAGGGGGGCAAGCCCAGGCCCCTTAACCCTTGCCTTTCCAGAGCTCCCCCGGCCCAAGTCTTTCCAGAGAGGGACCCCAGTCCCAGGGGTCCTGAATCCCAGACCCCGCCTGCTTGGAAAAAGGGAACACAGTGCCCAAGCTCTGGGTAACAGAAGATTTGGCCTGGGCAGAGGACAGTGGTAAGCTGGGGAAATCCCAGTCTGGTCACCCAGGGGAAGGGGAGGGGGTTGCCCCCATAGCCCCTTTTCCCCCAACCCCAGGGAGGTGGACAGATGTACAGATGGATGGGATGTACCCCAAACCGGGCTTGGGGACCCCTCCTGGCCCCCCCTGGCCACTTCACACGGGCCTCTGCTGTGACATTGGGCACGGAGAAGGAAGGGCACTGGCTCCCCACCCCCAAGCTCTGCCAAGCGCCCCCAAAGCAGGGGCAGGCTCTGTCCAGCAGGGCAGGAAGGGTGAACCTGCACGGCCCACGCTGGGACAAGGTGCTCACTCCTCCTGGGGTTGACCCAAGACCCTGGGTGTGCGCACGCACACACACACACGCAAGATGGACCCACAAAATTTCACACAAGCACACACAGAGACACCAACTCCCAGTCCTACACACGTCACACAGCGCAGACACACAAATCAAAGAACACACATGATGAGGCGGTCACTGACATTCGGGGTCACATGCCCCCAAAAATACCAGAGTTGGGATCACAGACATAACCCAATACACCACACCACAGTCAGAGTCACGCCATGACCCAGGCACACAAGCACAGTCAGGCAGACACACACCATCGGAGACACACACGCACATCCAGGCACTGACAGTCACACCCTGAGAGAGACATGATGTGCCTCCCTTTTCGGGGACAGCCACACACCCCCGGCCACCCGCCATCCACGCCCAGCCCTGGGCCACACATTTAGTCAGTCACAAGGCTTGGGCTCCAGGCCACACACGTGCACGACTGCACACACAGGCTCACATGGGGTGCCCAGCCTACCTTCCTCCCCATGCTCCGGTACCCCCCTACCTGGTCCCACCAGCCCACCAGCCACGGCTTGGAGCAGGTCTCACAGAAGAAATCCACCAGGGGCATCTTGGAGCCTTAGCCCCGTGCAGGGCCACCGCACGCAGAGACTGGGCTTGGGGGGGCCTGGGGTTAACGGCCGCCAGGGGCGCCGGGCAGGTGGGTGGTGGAAAGGGGAGCCGCGGAGGGGCCTGGGCCGGCCCAGCTGGGCTGGGGGCTCCCTTCCCCTCCGCGCTCCCGGGGGTAGCCCTGGTTACATGGTCCGCCAGCCCCGGGCCCCGGCGGGCCCCCCGGCAGTGATGGCTGGAGCCGGTGAGGGGCCCCTGCCCATGGGGGGGGCAGGGCAAGGGTCCCAGGAGGAGGCTGCAGACCTCCGTGCGTGCACCCGTGTGTGTGCGTGTGCCTGCTCACTGCAGCACTGGCAGGCTGCATGAGACGTCAGGTGGTGCCGGGGGTGGGGGGGCGTTAAAGGGGCATCCGAGCCCACGGGCTTCAGCTAGAACCCAGGTGGGGCTGCCCCCATGAGGACGCATTCGGAGACGGAAACACTTGTCCAGACACTCCACACACTCACAGACACACAAACCCTCTGAGACATGCCTTCCACAAACACTGACATACACACAGAGACTTGACATCAAAACACACTGGAACGCACACAGATACCCAAACATCACACACATGTGCGCACGCACATACACACACACCCGGACATAGTCACAACTTGGATGTCCAGCACATTTAGAGGGACACAGCTGAGTATGCACAGACACAGATGCCTTCAGACACTCCCCTTCCGAGGAAACAGGCACACACCTAGGGACAAACACCCAGATGCTGGTCACACTTATAGACACATACTCAACACGCCCACAGACACACTTTCCAACCAACACAAACAATCAGCTGCCCTCAGACACAAACGTATCCCAACAAATCCATCCGGGAGCACTCATGCTCACACCCACAAATCCACAAACACACACCACTGCAGAAACACCCACAGACCCATACCCGGAGACACAGCACAAATTCAGATGCTGGGCCCAGCCTCAAGAACACAATCACCCTCAGACCAGCATGTTCCCATACAAGCCTCCACCCACGGATGTGTGCACCGCCCCACAAAGACACCCCTCACCTGTACATCTTTTCATGATAGCCACCTGCCCATGAGGGCTGCTACCAAGGCTGCACAACTCCAGGAAGCATCATTTACACTGCCTGCTTTCAGAATGGTGCCCCCCTGCAATTGTGTAGTGCACAATCTGCACAACTATACCTGGGATGCTTGCACCCTCCCCTACCACACAAACACATAGGGAAACACACTCAGATTCCCACTTGGACCAATTCTCCCCAGCAGACAGACACACCCCTCCAGCACAGCCCATACACTTAGCACACCCACGGCCCTGCATAATCACCTGTGCACACCCATACACCTTCCACAGGGACACACCTGCCCGCAACTCCTCAGAATCTGCTCGGAACACACCAGCGCTGCAAGTGGGTAGCCAGCAAATCAACAGCTACACAGACCCATAGCCAACAACACACACTGGTAGACCAGAAAAGCAAACAGCTCCCCCAGAGGGGTGGTCTACTGACAAGTGTGCAGTCAGATACCCCACCCCCACACACACCAGGCTCCTCCAGCCCTGAGGAAAGTCAGAATCTACAGGAGCTACAAGTCTTGAAGCTGATGCCCAACGGTTGGCCCCACTCAGGAACTGACCCCATCCCATAGGCCCTACTCAGAGACGGACCCCCCCATTGGCCACGCCCAGTGGCTAGCCTTACCCACAGGCCTAACCTTGTGGTTGGCTCCACTCATAAGCCCTGCCCCCACCAGCTGGGCCCAGGAATTGGCTCCATCCCAAACACCCTACCCAGAGATTGGCCCCACCCTCTCGGCCAAGCCCAGTGGCTATTCCCACCCAAAGGTCCAACCTAGTGATTGGGTCCAACCACAGGCCTAGCCCCCTAACCCAGCCCACGGGTTGGCTCCACCTAGAAGCCCCGGCCCCTCCAGCTGACCCCAGAGGTTGGCCATCCTATAGCCCAGGGGTCCCCAACCCCTGGGCTGCAGAGCGGTAGTGATCCGTGGCCTGTTAGGAACCGGGCCACACAGCAGATGAGCGGCCGGCCAGTGCAGCTTCACCTTCTGTCAGAGATCAGCAGTGGTGGGGGCACTAGATGCTCAGAGTAGCACGAACCCTACTGTGAACTGCATAGGCAGAATCTAGGTTGCGTGCTCCTTATGACAGTCTAAAGCCAGACACCCCCAACGCCACCCCCATCCGTGGAAAACCTGTCTTCCACGAAACGGGTCCCTGATGCCAAAAAGGTTGGGGACCGCTGCCATAGACCCTACCTAGAAACCGACCCCATCCCCACAGGTCGCCCCCAATGGTTATCCGGGCACAAAGGTCCAAACTAGTGATTGGCTGCTCCAGCCATAGGCCTTGCAGCTCTAACCCCACCCACTGGTTGGCTCCACCCATAAGCCCCGCCCCCACCAACCTCATCCAGGGTGACTCCATACCCTGAACGTTGCCCAAAGATTGAGCACATCCCATACACTCTACCCAGGAACTGACTCCATAGCCGTGGACCACACCCACTGGTTATCCCCGCCCACAGGCCCAACCTAGTGACTGGCTCCAGTCATAGGCCTCGCCCCTCTAACCCCACCCACTTACTGGCTCCCCCCACGAGCCACCCGTCCACCAGCCAGAATCCAGAGATGGGCTCCATTCCACAGACAATACTCAGGAATTGACTCTAGCCCCACCGGCCAGGCCCAGTGGCCACGCCCACAGGGCCACCTCGGCGACTGGCTCCAGCCTTCGGTCTTGCTGCTCTAACACCGCCCACTGGCTCCTCCACTAATAAGCCCCGCCCCTCCAGCCCCGCCCAAGGGCTCCTGCACACCTTGTGGGAGGCCATCTCGCTGACAGAGCGGTAGGTCTGCATGGTCTCCAGCTGCTCCTGACACCAGTCCAGCTCCTCCAGCGTCTCCCGGGCCAACTGCTGACACATCTCCTCTGGGGAAGAGAGCCAGGGTGGTGACTGAGAAGGGCCGCAGGCAGAGCCCCAGAGACCCCAGGTCCACCAGGAGGGTAGCCTGCTAGGTGGGGAAAGGGCCGAGACAGCCCCTGCGGGCGAGAGACCCCACTGGGGCAGCAGGAGGGGGCCCTTTCCCACCCTACCTGACAGCGTGGCCTTGCAGACAGGGGTGGGTCCGCCCAGCGGGGACCGCCTGTAAAGAAATGGGACTCCAATGTCAGCCCGGGCCTCCCGATGCCTCCCTCCCTCCACCTGAGTGCCAACTTTCTTCTTTCGTTGTGTTCACTGTGTCCCAAGTATGCTGCTACCTACTCTGCTTGCAGCTCCATTGAGTCCCACAAGAACCCACTTTACAGGTACGGGAACTGAGGCTCAAGTAGATGAAACAGCTTCCTCAAGACCACATGGCTGATCTGCATTAAGGGCCTGGGTTTCCAAAGGAAGTCTTTGCTCCCTGACTAGTCCTCCCACCCAAATCCTCCAACCATCGAAGGGACAGCCCCAGAGGGACAGCACTCTTAGTGACATTCCCTGCTCTAAGACAATAAGGACTTCTATGTATTGAGCACCTACTTTGTGCAGGGCAGTATCAGAGCACTTTCTGTTCTATGTACACTCTCTCCCAGACTCCTCCCAGCAGCTAAGGGAGGCATTATTATAATTTTCACTTTACAGAGGGGAACAGAGCACCACCGAATGCCATTTGCCCTGCAATCTCAGAGTGGTCCTGGGCTGTGGCTGTGGCTTCATCACTGCATATCTGGACTCCTAAGTTTTTTATTGAGTTTGGGCCTCATTCTGTTGACCCAGCTGGAGTGCAGTGGTATGATCACAGCTTCCTGCAGCCTTGACCTCCTGGACTCAAGCAATCCACCTGTCTCAGTCTCCCGTGTAGCTGGGACTATAGGCATGCCCCACCACGCCAAACTGTTTTTTGTTTTTGGCAGAAACAAGATCTCACTATGTTTCCCAGGCTCAGACCCCTAGGTCTTTATTTATTTATAAAAGCTTCTGTGTCCTAGGCCCTTGAATTGCAATGGCTGTTGGGCTCCAAGGGAATTACGTCCTGATCAGAAGTTCAGAGGGGTCAAGTGCCTGCCCGAGGTCACACCGCAGGGCTAAGGGTTAACCAAGTTGTGCTTCACCTCACAATCATGGGATTTGGGGCCCAGCCTCGACTTACTTGTTGCTAGGAATGGGCACATTGGTCAGGAGCAAGAAGTTGCTGCGAACACTCCGGAGACTGGCCAGCACCTAGAGTGGGGCAGCAGTGAAGAAGCATCTACCTCGCAGGGCAGAGGGGTTGGGTCCTTTCCCCCAGTACAGGGAGGGTTGGAGCCCCTTCCCTGCTTCACCCTTTTGGAGGAGAGGTTCTCACCTGGGCAAACGGCGTTACGATGAGGTCCTCGGCATGCCTGCAGTCAAGGACAGTGGCAGGTCAGGGGTCCCCAGAGAAGCCACTCTCTGGGGTAGACACACTTGTGAGGGCTGGACCCAGGGAGGCTGGTGGGCGGGGAGGGGAGAGGACACTTCTACCGCACAAGGATGGACATGCTTCTGGGGGTCGTGGAGGGCATAAAGGTCAGGGAGAGAGGAGATAAAGTGGGGGGGGTAAGTGAGCATGCTGCAGGGTTGGTGGGGGGAGCAGAGGATGGAGAAGGGGCAAGGGGCAGAGGTGGGCACTGTGAGGGGTAGGGTGGGGTCTGGAGGATCCAGTGAGGGAGGAGGAAGCTGAACAGGTTTGGGAGGTCCTCACATCTCCACAGGTGGTCTTGATAAGGGGGGTGACTAGGGAAGCTGGGGAGTGGGGGAGAGCAGAGGGGCTCGGTGGAGGTGGTCACACGTGGGAAGGGTTCCTCTTCTCTGTCGGAGCAGCTGAGGCAGGGTAACTCCCAGGCAGCCAATGGGGAGAAGCTATGGGGCAGGAGGCGCTCACCCCTACAGGAACTGAGCCCTTTATGGGGAGCAGGGGTGTGCTTACAATTCCCTGGGAAGGACATTGGGGACTTGAGCAGGGCTGGCGGGCCCTCACACCTTCCTGGTGGGCATGCTATATGAAAACTGAGCCCTTTTTAAAAAAAATAGCTTTTTTACTTTTGTCTTTTTTTTGTTATAAATAGAGATGAGATCTCGCTATGTTGCCCAGGCTGATCTTGAACTCCTAGACTCAAGTAATTCTCTCACCTTGGCCTCCCCAAGTGCTGTCATTACAGGTGTGAGGCACCATGCCCAGTCATGAACTGAAGTCTTTATAGGAAGAGAAGGAGGTGCTTACCCTTTACTGGAGAGGACAGATGAGGGGTTTGAACAGGGTTGGGGTGGGCATCCCTGCTCCTTGCTGTGAAGGGCAGTTTGGAGCGGGATCAGGCCTGGGGGGCCGGGGCATGTGGGGATACTCACACCTCGCTGGTGACCGATGAGTTCCGAGACATCGTCTTGGGTGACATGTCATAGTCGCTGTCTGAGCGGTACAGGAAGGACTCCCGGCGCTGGCTGGTGGCCGCCCCCGTGTGCAGGACAAGCCCCGGGCTCGCCTGCGAGTCCAGGGGGCTGCGGTTGGGGGATGGCGTCGGCCCATTCTCAGCCTCGAAGCTGCAGGGAACAGGTGGGAAGAGAGGAGTCAGGGAGGCCAAAACAGCGTTAGAGGACTGAAGTCAAAGGACTGAAGAGACCCAGGAAATTCCGAAATTCCTGGCAAAGACTGGGGGGCAGATGGAGAATGTTAGAGGGAGAAAGACACCCCAAAAGAGATGGGAGACAAGTAAGTGAAGAGTTCAAACGCTGTCAGGAGGGCTCCGGGGTCGGTGGGCCTCCGAGTGCTGGGTGGGCGGTAGGGGCACCAAGCCCCTCCAACGCTCTGCCCTGAGGGAGAAAGCACTCACCTGTCATGCTCCCCCAAGCCCCTCCTCTGAAGTGCCTTTTGCCCCCCTCCCATAAGGGCAATCAGTTCCCTCACATCTGAGAGCCCCCCCTTTATTTTTTATTTTATTTTATTTTATTTTTTTTTTTCAGTTGGAGTCTCACTCTGTTGCCCAGACTGGAGTGCAGTGGCCACTC